CCTGCCTGCCTGCCTGCCTGCCTGCCTGCCTACCTACCTACCTACCTACCTGTCTTTCTTTTTTTAAGGTGCTGAAAATTGAACCTGGGGCCTTGCATGTGTTAAACTCATGTATAAATAAACTGAACTATATTCCCAACTGTGTAGATGGTTTTTTAACACACTTGCATTTTCTGGTAATATTCTTTACTAGTTTATGTATGCCACTGACATTTTCTGTTTTCTTCAACATATTATTTAAATCTCCTTAACCCGTTTATTTGTTGTCCTGTTTCATTCATTTAGCTGTTTTCTGTGTATTACCTCTTTAATTATTTTAATATCTTGTTTTTTTTTTAAGACTAGAAATTTGGCTCTGCTCCCCAGCATTGTGCTGTGTGTATTTGACTCCATTCTTCACCATGTCTTCACACAAGACTTTCAGGATCAAGCGATTCCTGGCCAAAAAACAAAAGCAAAATCGTCCCATTCCTCAGTGGATTCAGATGAAAACTGGCAATAAAATCAGGTACAACTCCAAGAGAAGATATTGGCGACGGACCAAGCTGGGTCTATGAGAAATTGCAGAAGAGTTCATATACATACGCTGTGCTAATATGATTATTATTATATCAAGTTTAAAGTGTCTCCATTGTTTGAACAATTAGACATGTTTATTAAGAATATGTTTTTGGTCCTTGTTCCTATGGTTTGTACTAGATTGGTTTAATGATAAATATGTGAAACCTTTGTTTGAAAAATAAAATTTTTGGCTATGTGCTAGAATTTAACATTTTGTTGTTGTTATTCTGTTGGTTTTGTTTGTTGTGCAGTCCTGGGGATTGAACCCAGCACCTGAAAATTCTAAGCAGGTGTCCTACCACTGAGCTAAACCCCCAGCTCTTAACATATAAGAAACCCATTTGTCAATTTGTGCCCATTGAATTCTCCAACTTTTTCACTACAGTTCCCCGTTACTGCTAAAGCTTGTCAATTTCTCTTTCTCCCCAGTAACTGCTTTCTGATTTATGCCCCCAAATAACTTAACAGGTGATTTAAAATGGTTCCTCAATTTACACTTTTGAATTGTTCTTATTCTGTAAGTACTGTTTAGTCTTCCATTGCTTCCTCTTCTCTCTAGTGTCTTGACTCATTAGGCTCTCAGTGTAACCCAGGGAAGAATGGTGGTGGGAATGAGGAAGAGATAGAGAAGAGACTAACCCGATGTGGTGGCGCACGCCTGTAATCCAGCCCTTGGAAGGCTGAGGCAGGAGGATTGTTGTGAGTTCAAGGCCAGCCTGGGCTATAAAGTAAGTGCAAAGCCTGGCTGAGTTACATAGTGAGACCTTGTCTCAAAGACAAAAAAAAAAGCCAATAGCTGGGTCAGGTGGAGATCCTGTCTCTCCTGATTGGAAGAAAGAAACCACCCATGAACAGTAGAGTATTTATTTATGCCCTTGGGAGGTTGATATTAATTTCAGCCTCTCTACCCAGCAATCAGTTAAGCTGCAGCAGCTGGTTTATGTGCTTTGAGGAGCTCCTGTTTTTTGGGGCTGGTTTCGTCCTGCACGTGTAATCTCCAGCTGCAGCCACTCCCAAGATGCCAGGGTTTTGTCATTTGTACAATTTAGTTTTTTTCTGGTTATTAGTGGAAACATTGACCCACCAGGTTCTACGTGGGTAAACCAAGTTTTTGTTGCAAGGGTTTCTATGTGTGTATGGTTTGAATCTCAGCATGTCAGCTGCCAATGTGTAGCACGAAAGTAGCCATAGATGACACGTGAGTAAGCATGTGGTCTACCCTGGTCTTCTCCATCCTGCTGGACAGGTAAGTCTTCACCAGTATAATTTTGCTTTTTGAGACAGGATCTGAGTTGTCCATTGGACAAACTGCACCCTGCAAATACCTAGGGATAGTTTCTCTTACACTTACCCATTTGTAATTGTATTGGTCAGGGATCTCTGGAGAAACAGCAAATAGTATTGGGCAGGAAGTTACACGTCAGTAGGCCTGGAGACAGGTAGCTGGGGATCACATGAGGGAGCTACATGAGAACCAAGGGAGATTTTTTTGTTGATTTTTCTTTCATTAGCTATAGATAAAATCCAAACAAATTTATGATCTCAAGCTGTAGCCGAAAAGAATGTAGCCTGCCTGTGCATGCTGATGAGGTCCCAGATCCTGAAGAAGTCCAGGCCTTGGAAAAAGCTTCAGTGTCTCGAAACAGTTTAAACATCATACCTAGAGAGTAGTCAGGAGCCTGTTTTCCCTTGGAATTTGATCAAAACAACCTCATTTATCTTTATAGCACAAAAATGGCTTCCGAGGAAGGAAGTGATGCTCCTTAAGGCCCCATTTATTGTAAAGGTGGCCTGAACCTTAGTTTGGGTGTCTTCAATTTATACTTTTGTTGACTCTGCCTATACTCCCCATTTTTGTGTTTGTCTTGCTTGAACTCTTTTTCTCCCCGCAGCCTTCCCATTGAGCTACAGTAAGTCTCAGACTTGCGAATGAGTTCTATTACTGGAGAACATTTTGTAGGTTAGATTTATTGGTAAGTTCAACAGAGTGAGTCTTACACACCTTTGACACAAGTACAGAATATAAAGCATAAAAAACCAAATCTGCATATCACACTGCTTTTCCTCTTGCTTCCAGGACATTCTGGGCTCTGATAGAGTACTGTACTACTGTACACTGTTACACTGTACAGTACACGTAACTGTGACACTGTCCAGCAGACAACATGAGTTACTTCGAGATTTGTTTGCATCCACATAATTGGAGGTCTGTTCATATCTGAAAGTTCCCAAAGTGAATGTTCAAAATTTGGGGACTTTATGTGCCCAGCCCTTTTAAAGTTTTTGAGATGGGCTCCCCCAAGCTAAACCTGAATTTACATTCCTCCTGCCTCAGCCTCACAAACAGCTGGGATTACAGGTGTCCACTTTCATGTCCAGCAGATTTTTAAATTTTGAGGCAAGTTCTCACCAAGTTGCCCAGGCTGAGCAATAATTTGCGATCCTCTTGCCTCAGCCTCCCAGAGTGCTGGGATCACAGGTGTATTCCACCACACCTTGCTTAAAGTATGTTTTGTTACTAATTTAGCCCAATTTGTCTGCCCTTGGTTCATTTTTTTGGTAGGTAGGTGTGATGAGGTTAAGGCAAGCATCTCGTGATAAGAGAGGTTTAATCACCTGATTGACGGTTCTGTTTCTGCTGCTTCCCACACAGCAGGTGGTGCTCATGATCACCTATCCAAGGAGCTCTATAATGACCACCAAGAGAGTACCATCCAAAAGCAGGCTTCTCAGAGCCTGAAGTAGCCCTGTGTTACCAACTCCATGGGTTCTTGTGCTATCAAAAGAATTAGAAGCACCTGGGCATAGGAGCAAGGCTTCTTTTGTTATACTCAAGCACAATGGGGAAAGCCATGGGGCACAAGAATCCCAGGCTAACCCAAAGGACAGAGGTGTACAGCTTTTATTGGCAACTATGGGGTAGCAGGAACCCAGTCTCATGACATTTAGTGTACTCAGGGGATAGGGCTGGAATAATACCAAAAGAAAAAAAAAAGCCCCAAGCGGGAGGTGGTGGCACATACCTATAATCCCACTGGGGTGGCTGAAGCAAGAGGATCATGACCAGTTAGGATTAACATAGTAAATTCAAGGCCAGGGCAGACTACATAGACCCTGTCTCAAACCCCTCTTCCCTACCTCCACTTCCTACGAGTTTTGCGGACCTCAAGATGGAACCCAGGACCTCGCCTGCTAGGCAAGTACTCTACTAGTAACTGGAGAGTTACCCCGACACCTTTGCTTTGAGCTACATCCCCAGCCCCCCCCCCCTTTTTTAATTGATTGATTGTCTTTTTGAGACCAGGGTCTCACTATGCAGTTCCGGCTGGCCTCGAACTCTCAGCTATCCTCCTGCCTCAGCCTCCCGAGTGTTGGGATTACAGGTGTGCGCCACCACGCCCGGTCTGCCCTTTTTATTTTTTAAAAATTTCTGACAAGGTCGCCAAATCGCTCATTTTCCATGCTGGGCTCCAAATTTTGATCGTCCTGCCTCAGCTTCCCACTGTGCTGGGGTTACAGAAGGACCACTTATTTGAGTACCAAACTTGAAAGGCTCGTTAGAAAAGTCAGTAAAAAAGATACATGATATTTTAACGCGCTCTTTAAAAAGTACGAATCTGTACACTACCACTTATGTCGGGGCCTTTTCTCAGCATCAAAGTTTTCTTTTTTTGGTTTTTTTCCGGTACCGGGAATCGAATTCACGACTTGCGCTTGCCAGGCAGGCGCTGTGCCGCTGAGGTAAGTCCCCAGCCCCTTCATCAAAGTTTTCTATCATAATTTCTGAAATGCTACCAGAGCCTCCCCAGGAATTAAGCCGTGGAGCCGCCAGGAAGAGGCGCTCAGGGAGGCGACGCAGCCGCATCCACTTTTCTCAGCCGCCATTTCCCCGGCCCCTCCACCCACTTGTCCCTGATTGGGTGGGCCGCTGCACGCTCGCGCTGGCATTGGCCAGGACTCGGGGTAGGCGGAGACAGATTTACCTCGGCCGGAGCCGCGGGAAGGTCTTTCTGCGCTCCGCTCGCGGCGCGCGGAGGCTGTGGAGCGCGGCGGTGGACGGTTCCCTGTAGGTACACCGCTGCCTGGTTCCAGCCCGCGCGAGCGGCGGTTGGCGGGGCGGCGGCCGCGGGGAGC